TATTATAAAATAAATACCTGATTTTAGTTTTTTCTTCTATGCCAACAGAAGGCAAAATTTCATTAGAAATATAATCATGAAAGTTATAAACAGTTGTATTAAATTTGTGTTGTTGTAAATATGATGTTACTTTTAATTGAACATCCTTATCATCAAGAATACTGCTTCCCCTAAAATGTTTTCCATGATTACTTTTAGAAATGTCGCCATATTCAATAAATGCTTTAGCCCAACTTCTAATACAATGAGCAAACCATATTTCTCAATTTAGAAGATCTGCAATAGTTTGACTTGCTTTTAATTTTGCATGTCCTTTGTTAAGGAGTTATAAATAATGTTGGACAGCTTTAAGTCGCAGCGTATATCCTGGAGTTAAATATTTATTCTCGAGTTTTAGTTTATCTTCAATTATATTAATTAATGCATTAAATTGTGCATTTTTATGATTTTATCATCATTGGAATTATTATTGGAACCATCATTATTGGAACCATCACTATTGGAACTATCTCCACCAAAAAAATTACCATTGGAACCATCTTTACCATCAAAAGAATCACTACCAAAATTACTACCAAAAGAACTACCACTGAAATCAACACTAGAACCATCACTATCAGAAGAACCATCACCAAAATTACCATCAGAAGAACCACCAGTATTGTGATTATTTAATAGTTGATAAAGAGTTTGTCCATTTTTTTTTCGATTTTCCAATACTTTAACTTTTTGTCGATATTTTGTCATTCGTGAGTTTCTTACATTTACTAACGGACGTTTTGAAAGTTTTAGTTCTTTCATATTTTTAGTTAAAATCAAAAAAAAGTTGCTTTGCCTCATTCTCATCAACCCATCCAACTTCATCATCCGTGTTAAACTCATTATTTAAGTTTAAAATATCATTTGAATCATTTGAATCAGTATCATCATGATTTTTTGCAATTTGAATTTTTCTTTTTTTTGCAATCACTCAGCATTGTTAGATTCGTCATTTTGGGCGTCCCATTAGTAAAAAAAAAAGATCAGTTGATCAACATATGCATATAGTCTAAACTATTTATATAAGTGACCTACATTATAAATTTAGGCATAATTCCAGCCAGAGTTATATGTTTCAAATCCATTCTCACTTAAGAAAGTACTCAAACTTTGCCGATTAATAACTTTTGATCTAGATATCTAATCAAAGTAATTCTAACGTTATTTTATAGCAACAGTTAATGTCTATCAAACTACGTTAAAGTGTTTTAAACATATACACTAAAAAGTTTTTTATTTCATTTTTAAGTTTGATAAATTTATTGGATGGCTTTTTGTGACACAAACCATATACAGTTACAATAATAGACTAGAAGAGAAAAATAGCAATCAGCATATACAGAATGCTATTCTTTTTGATTTTGTTGAAAACAATCTGAAAGGTATAGAAGGATACATGAATGCTCTTTAAATTGTACATGATCAAAAGTCGATGCAAGAATATCTCTCCAATCATGCTATTCCTATTATTGCAGATTAGCCTGAACAGTTCTACATTCAGAAGGCTATTACGCAATGGCTCCTTGTTAATAATGAAACAATTTCTAGTTTTGTTGTATCCTTTTTGCCTATGATGAGTCCTCTCCATATATCCTTAAATACTCGCGAACTTATTTTTTTACAGAATTTCTTTTATTTAATGATATTTACAAAAGTATATTTGATGCAAAAAAGGAACTTGGTAAGAAACCACTTTACAGAAACTTAGTTTTCTTAATACGAAGTAACTGCAAGGTGACTATATAGTAAATATATAGTTACTACAATACTTAGCAGTAGCTTAATCGCAGCCTTATAAGTACTATGCAGTTACTGTATAGTAAAGAAACAAAGTTTCTGTAAAGCACGACTATGGAGAATAATTGACTTAATTCTCCATATCGTACACAAAGCATAATTTAATATATCAGAGGTTGTCTATTTAAAACTCAGTTGTACAAATAAGAATATCGAATTTCTATATTTAACGGATCTACTGAGTAATCTAGTTCTGTTAATCCTTAACGTTTACGCAATGCACCATTGAGAAGGTGATTGGCCTGCTTATGAAGAAGTTTGCATATATTGCTGGAGTGATCTATTTCTTTGTTTTGATTAGAGGAATTACAAACGTGTCTCTTTAATATTTTTTTCTGATGTTTTTATTAGATGGAGATTAATCATTCAATAATTAACATGATTACTAATAATCTTGATTCTCTAAATGATAGTCCTGTTAAAATTGCCTATAGTATTATACGACGACGTACCGCTAAGTTTTTCACAGCTCAACAACTTCAGAAAGAGGCTTATTTTATTTTTCAACAGTGAGAAAAAAATGCATTTTGGCAATATTTCGTAAATGCCATTAAATATTCATACACACCAAAGTAATTGAATGTGCTTTTCCAAAAATGTTCTATACAGCTTTTAAACATATTTACAAAAATATACTAAACATATCATATATATTCTTTAATTATCAAATCTTTGTCTGATGGTATTAACACATACAAATTGCCTTCTTTAGGTTACGAAGTTACTGATCGCTACTTTTCACGAAGCTTTGTTACTTCTAAGAAATCCAATTCTACCATCCTTTGTGATTATTCCTATTGTGAATATACTAATTATTTGATTGATGGTATCGTCTTTGCATGTGGGCACAGTTATTATATTTATTGCCTACAAAGATGTTTAGAGTATCTTCAAAATGAGGTTAAAAAAAATGTTGATGCTCTTATAACAAGTTTGATAAAGAAATTGGATGAACAAGAATCTATTGAAGAGAATAATAAAAATATGAATGAAGATGATTTAAATGACATAGATGAGATGATGGATGATATTGTAGCAACAAAGAATTTATTAGAACATGCAAAAGAATTATTTTTGAAACTGTAAAATTTATTTACATTATGAATAAATACATTATTATAATTATTTTGTTTGATTAATATATTTAATTTGCAATTTTAGTATAATTGGCATTGTAAGTCACGTGTTTATTTTTCAATTTTTATTGGTAGATTGATTGATTACGTGTTTATTTCATGATTTTAATTAGTGAATCAATTGTATCAACTCATTATCAGATTCAGAATTTGTGTAACTGAAAATGATTCCTCCTGTTAGAGTAAACTCCTCTCCATATTTGGTATACCTGCTGTCACTGGGTTCATTTTCATTTATCTTAAAGTCTAATTTGAAGGCTGCAGCAGCTGATTCTACACATTGGAATTTCTGACCTTAGGATTTTCTACAGGTATTCGTTTTACTTGAATCAACTTGGCAATTTATTACAGCTTAGAATTTAAGATATATTAGTCAAACTCGTAATGACGAATTCAATAGCAAGTTAGTGTAGTGTATCACAACAATCCTAGGTGAAAAACAACGTTGAAGGGAAAAGTAGTTTGTATAGATTTAAATTGATTCCTTTATTTATAACTTGAAACTCATATGAAACTTACAAATGAGTTAATTTACAATTTAAGTAAAAAGCTATTTTATTTATATAAAATTAATTTGCTACAGCTAACTATTTGCTACGCTATAAATTAACTAAATATGAATACATACTTCAATAAAAATATAATTAAATATAATAAAATAATAAAAATAATATAAATAATAAAAATAATAAAAAGAAATAAAATAAATTACAGATGTTAAAGAAATTACAGGTGAAACAGAATAAACAGGATAAACAGACTGTATAGAAAATACAGAAGAAATAGATGCAATAGGAGAAACAGAAATTATTGCTGATCATTGTTTGATACAGCAGTAATGTTATCTAACGTGAGATTATTATTGATTGACATATCCCATATGATATTTGGAGTTGTAATTTCTTCTGTTGATACTGTCAAGATGATATTTTATATTTGTTTGCTATAACTTCTGATGCTCACTTCATTAAATTTTTAGCACTAATAATATCCTGAATATCTTTTTCTGATAAGTGGGTCACATTTGAGCGTAAGTAGTAATTCATTTTTTCTTATAGTCAGAAAAAATGTGTCAATAAATATTCAATATATATTCAATATATATATTCAGTACACATTTGGTATATATTCAGTGCATCTAATATATATCCAGTATGTTTAGTGCATTTAGTGTATTCAATACATTCAGAATATTTGGTATGTTCAGTATATTTAAAATATATCTGATATACATCTAATACATATAATGCATTCAATATATCTGATATATTCAGTAGATTCAACATATATTCAATTTAGAAATTTCAGTCATATTTTTTTTTCTATTATAGTAGCAGTCAAGTTAAAAAAAAGGCCAAGAATAATGTGCATACCTTAAGAGATGTCAATAAAAAAGTGATATCCTAACTGCGACTGAGCATTGGCTTAGTACTGCATATGAGCAAGAGTTCAAAGAGAAGTTATATTCTGCTTTCAGCTCTAAGGCTGAACTTAGAGATCTCAATAGAAAATTGGTAGATAAGTACAATGAGCAGGAGAAGGAGTATTAGTGAAGCTATAGTGATATTGGAAATAAGATTAGCCAGTTAAATGCGTCTAGTGCTAAAGTTAGATTCCAAATTATTTTTAAATAAAAATCTTATTTTGAGAGTCAACATGAGCTTGAAGCCAAATATACTGTCAAAATCAAATCACTTAAATCAAATATCAAAACACTAAAGAAAGAGGCAACTTTAGCCCAAAAAGCTTTATCTGCTGACAAGATCAAGATTCTTTCTCTTGAAGTTAAAATACGTGAATTAGAAGGTAAGTTGAAAGACATAGATCTAGAGCATTCATATCATGATTTAGATATAATGGGAGGGGTGATAGAGGAGCTGAGCTAAATAAGCTCATCTGAAATAGATTCCCTTAGGCTTGAACTGAAGCGAGTAAATAAGGATCTTGATTCAAAGAAACATGAAATAGAATATATGAAAAAGGGAAAGAGTCATCAGATAGTATGTATACATCAGTAAATTTAATAATGCGAAGTATTACGTAAACCCTACGCTTCGTAATCTTACGTAAGGTTACGAGCCCGT